TGGACCTGAGCATAGTCATGGGAGGCTGATTATGTAAGGAAAATGCTGATGTTGGGAATCTCATCTGTTTGGGTTGTAGTTTCCAAAACACAGTAACAACTACAGTTAATAGGATCAGCAGTGGTGTTGGGAAGGCGTGGAAAGCTTGGGTGCTATGAGTGGGATTTATTATACCACTCATTGGATGGTGAAGTCTGAGATTCTCCTCACCATCCATGGAGAGCAAGGTTCTCTGGCTGACCTTATCTTAGGACGTGATGGCTTTCCCTCTGGAGCTACCTCTTTCTCCTTCTCAATTAGAAAAATATCCTGGAAACAACTTGCTCTGGTCTGGACTATGTTTCCCATAAACGTATAAGTGAGACCAGATGATTCTTACTACCCATGTGGCAAGGAAACATGCAAAGTGAGCTACAAATAAGAGCAATGGATGCTAGTCCTTGGCTTGTACTAGTTAATCCTCCCATGGAGCTGATCTTGGCTTTCCAAATTGCAGCAGAAATGCAACTGGTAAACAGCTGCAGTGATTTTTCTTTAGTACTTTGCACCAGGTTGTACTGAGCACAGCAACATGCTGATGTTAAGGGATATTCTGAGTGATTTCTAGAGATATTTTTTACTCTTGAAGACCAGTAGGAAGACAGTTTAATCCCTCTCCTATAATGACTTGCTTCCTCCACTTGTATACAAAACTTGAGTTGGCTTTCTTCTCTTTGAGCATGTTCTCCCTGTAGTCTGTATCATGAAAATACAAAGGCAGTAGTACAGGTCTTCATGCTTTTGCTGTCCTGCCTCTTTTCTTAATACTTTCAGCACTATTTCAGCTTCATGCTTGTCCCTGCATTCTTACTCTTATCTGGGACCTCTACCAGCTGCTTGCAACCATATCCTGATGCCATCTGGGATGCCTAGGCTGCAGCAATAGGATGACATTCATAATAATGAACTTCTGTTTCTGCCTTTTTTCTGGAGATGAAAGCACTAAGCAACTTCTCTGTGAGCTCTCAGGTTCTTGCAGGAACATGCTACTAACAGGCTGACTCCCAAAGGCAAAGATCTTTTCCTGCTCCCATGGATTGCTATGAGATGTGTGTGCACTCTGCACTTCAGATTAACAAAGTAGGTATTTGCTTGCACCCTCTGTGCCCACATGAGAAGAGCTGATTACAGAAATCAGCCTCTTACAAGTCTCAACTGTGTACTGGTGGCTCCTGCAACTGCATCAGGCTTTGCATTTATGATGGGCTAAGAGAATAGTTGTATTTTAGTCAGACTCTCTACAAACCTGAAGAAAAACAAAGCTGAACATCTCCTCCCAATGTTACCAATTGGTCCTATTGTACAGTGGTTTTGTCAGCAAGATATTTAAGACCTTAATCCCTTTCAGCTATTAGAGGGAAGTCTAAGACAGTGTGAGACTGGAAACATGAGTGATTTTCACTTGGATTTTCATCTTTTCTCTAGTGCTGTAACCTGACAATGGTGTTTCACAATGTGCTATTCCATTCACTGCAGCCTGCTTAAAATGAGGAAGGTGGAGGAGTAAGAAGAAAAGACTCCTTTAAATCTGTAGAGAAGCATTGGTGGCTGTAAGAGCTATTTAAAGAAGAAGTAAAGCCACTTTAGCTTGTTGATCTATTTCTGCACTGTAATTTATGCTGCCATTCACGCAGTGTCAGAAAGCTATTGTAAACCGTTGTATAAACCCACCCTGTAGGCTTGAGGGTCTCTAGTCCATGGGTCTGCCAACACTAGCATACTGGTGATAGGATAATAGCAGGTTTCATTCCTAAAAGTTCTTTATTTTGGGGGGGCAGGTGGGGGGGGGGTGTTAATGTACAAGAGTAAGAATTTTAATGAGTCCCAATAGACCACCCACTTAGCTATTAGCAATAGGCAAGCTACAGCGTATACATCCTGGTAGAGGTGAGTTTTGAGGAGAGATGTGAAATATAAGCTAGGAGCTTTCACAAATGATTTGTGGAAGGCACTCCATGAAATACCACAGCATTGAGATATCTCAGAAGAAAGCCCAGGCTGGGAAATTGCTTTGGAGTAGCAGCTGGGGGAAAGATAACATTTCTTTGAGCACTGCCACTCTCATGAGAAGGGAAACTAGACTAAAGATGTTTCAGGAGGATAATGTGTACTGTGAGCAACAGGGGAATAGACAGGACAATGGCATAAAGGAAAGATGCTGAGGACAGGATCCGTCTCAACTAACATTAAACATTTAGTCATCTTGGCTCTTTGTGGTCAGTGGAGTACGATACTTTGAAGGCATGATTCATCTGACCTGTTTTGGGCTCTAACCTACCTAGGATGAGGGTAATTACCCTTTAGACATGCCTGTTTCTTCCTACTGATTCCGAGGGGATCTTCAGACACATAGAAGTGGTACAGACCTCTTCTATTTTAGACATGCCAGGAGGTGAGACAAATCCTCCTTTGCATGTGTACTGGAACTGTGAAGGAGGGTATGCATGGCGCATGACCACACAGCATCATCCAAATCTGGGACAGCATCCAGTCACCATCCATCCTTGTCTCTGAGAGAGACAAGGAACCAGAAAGACAGAGGATGGAAACCAAGAAAGGAAGAGGTGGGGAAGAGGACAGGAAGATTTGCTTCAGCCATGCTATGCTTCAGCTTCCACCAAAAGCAGCTGTAAGTAGTGTGGGAGACATAGGCTGAGCAGAATAACACAAGGAAATAGAAACAAAAAAAAAGAGTTTTAAAAAATTTTGCTAAGATGTGAGCTTCTTCATGAGCAACTGATATTATTATAACTATCAACCAAAACAAGAATTATGACATTTTCTTATTACTGTTTTTTTCTGAAATTGCATTCCAAAATCTTTATGGACAATCTTAAATTTGCTGATATGTATATTTTACATTGAAAATCAGGGGGTTTTGCATAGGCAAAAAATAAAAAAGGAGGATTTTGTGATGACTGCAGCACAAATTTCTGTGAATGGTTCTTTAAGCTGCATTGCCAGAAATGTCATGAATCTGCTCAGAACTCCAAGGAAGGGAAGTGGTTTGAAATTCCTAACACTGCTTTTTCAGCCAGAATAGCCATTTTGGGTGTATTTCACATGAAGCACAGCTTCAGAGATTGATATGTCTTCATTCTGGGCCCTGTATTGTGCCAAGGAAATTCTCAGTGTTTAACAAATAATAATAGAAATAAGCTGTGTAAGCATATGTGAATCTTTGCTTTATAATTTTATGTGTAGAACAATGATCTCATAGACATATAGGAAATAGAGCAGATGGTAAAATGCATGTTGGACTAAACTCATGTTGGAGACTAAGTCTTATGGACAATAAAAGCACAAAATCTGGACAATCCCCTCCAGCCATGCACATGAAGAACCCCTTGCGAACAGACAGATCAAAACAGATTAAGAGGCCACCTTTGATTTGTTGTTTACTCCTATTACTGGAAGTTGCGGTACTGTGATCTGTCATTCCCTATGTGGACATTCAATGGCGTTTGTGCTAGAAGAGCCCTCAGCTGGGTTACTGTGAGGTGGGTACCCAGCAACGTTATTCCAATTTTGAACAGTGGAATTGCAGCCATTTCAGAGGTGTTTCATCTGCTGTGAAACTGGCTCAAGAAGGTGGCTCTGGGTAAGGTTTTGTAGCTGAATCCTGCTTTTTTTCTCCTCCAGATGTCTTTGTTGATGGAGATGGATGAATCCTAGTCCATACTCCTGTTTCAAAGCACGGGTTTCTCTCAGTGACTAGGGACAAGGGCATCCCTGCACAAAAGCAAGGTAAGAAAATCAGGCATAACCATAGAACCACAGAATCATAGAATAATTAGGGTTGGAAAGGACCTTAAGATCATCAAGTTCAACCCCCCCTGCCATGGACAGGGACACCTCACACTAAACCATATCACCCAAGGCCTCATCCAACCTGGCCTTGAACACTGCCAGGGATGGAGCATTCACAACCTCCCTGGGCAACCCATTCCAGTGCCTCACCACCCTATCAGGAAAGAATTTCCTCCTTATATCCAATCTAGACTGCCTGAGTGCAAAACTGCTACCAGAGGAGGAAAACCGAGAAATGGAGTCATGCCAGACTGCAGGAAAGTTTTTCTTTGTATACTAGCAAAACAAAGACCAGCATAACCTTACAACAGCAATGCACACAAACAAAAACTCTTCACAACATATTCCTTGCCAGAAAGTTTGTAGGTAAACAAAAACTGCACATCCCAGGTCTGTTAAAAGACTAAGCTGAGCCGAAAGATTCCTTCAGTTATATCAGTGCAAATATTATGAGCACAAATGTGGCCAGTTAGTAGCCCTTCATTGATGTGCTGTATTAGATTCATACCTGCCTCAGGAAAAAATTATCTTCTGCTGTCATGTCAGTTTCTATTCTCCTTTCTTTTTGCTACAGGATGCCTGATGGGCTATCCTGGAGTGTTAAATACAAGTCATTACTGTGCTCTATTAAATGTGCTTCTCTACATTGGGCAGATTATGTGCTTCAAAGACCAAAGGCACTCACTTCTATCCACTGGCAGCTTCTGTTTTCATCAATGGTAGTGGCTTCGGAGCAACTATCTGAGATTTAATGTCAGAATTTAGGGAGGAAAATGCTAGAGAAAATTCATTTTGCTTTACTTTCAAAGTCATATCCATTTTTTTTTGCTTTTATTGTTGGTAATAGATTTTCTTCTGTAGTAATGATGGTATAAAGTAATTATAGTACAGGGAAGACCATTTGAAAATGGGAGAATCGGCAATGAAAATTTTGTATTGGGATGCTGAAATCTCAATGCTGAGATGCATTGAAGTAATGAGATCTAGGGCTTGGGTGGCTGTTTTTCGTTGGTTTTGAATTGTGGTTTGTTTAGGGCTTCTGTTTGTTTATTTGTTGGGGTTTTTTTAAGATCAGTTTATCTGTTAGTAGGCTAATATGTTAGTTTAAAGCACAAAACCCTCGAATAAAGGGTCTAGATCCTGTCTTTTCCCTTAACCCAAGCGCATACCTTGGAGAAATGCCTTTGCACCCCTATTTTCTCAAAGGTAAACCAGAGACAACCATGTCTGCTTACGTGATAGTGTTGTTCAGGTCATACTATTTATAACCTGCACCATATAAGAGCACATCTCACTCCCTATTTAAATTACACCAGTATAAGAAATTGCAGCTTGCTCTGAAGTAAGCTACACAGAGGTTTTCACTGGTGGAAGCCAGTAGGAAGTAGGGACAGAGGGAGGAGGTGGGAGGTACTGATTGAGCAGAAACTGTCTTTGTGATCTCTGGAACTTGCCTTACTGATAACTGGAGGGGGATTTTCCTAATAGAAAACCTGTGAGCTATATGAGGAGGATAATCCACTTGACCCTTGCCCTCTGCTAAGCCTTCAAGCCATCATGACATTTCATTTCTCACCAGCTGCAAGGCCACTTATTGGAATTCATTTCGATTGCAATGCAAAGCCAACATTGCTCAGCCCAGGAGGAAGACCAGAAGGGGGATGTCGGAGCAGGGCACGTGAGCAGGGACATAGTGATCATATTTGGAGAGGGTGAGAGCTGGTGGCAGCGAGGATGATAAACAGGGTGTGTTTATGCAAGTGACCTTATTTATATCAGCATGCCAAGGAAGGACCAAATGTACTGCACTGAAGGAAGTGAGTCCACACGCATATGGGAGCGGGTCCAGCACTACGTGGCTGGTGCAAGCCCAGGCACTGCTTTGCAGGGTGGCAGCTTGGGGTTTCAAGGGCAGCTGCCATCCTCAGTGCTGGGGTTTTGGAGCTCTGTGCACTGCAGGCTGTGCTGCAATGTGCTGCGTGGCTATCAAGCACTGGTGGGAAGGGAGTTCTGCTCTGGCACTCACCACCCCTCCGACAGGACCCACAGCCTCCACAGTGCTGAACAGACCCCTGAGAGCGATGCATTCAAAATCCTAATCTGTTAGTTCAACATTTGGCTGCTGAAAGGCTCATGGACCAATCTGGCATTATTATTTTTTAATACTGTATTTGTTATTCTCTGAGTATTTTGGGTGGATAATTACCCAGTGTGTACTGTGTATTGCAGAATCCAGGAATATTTGCTTTGGCTTTTCTTCCTTGTTAGTTAGGGTGTGCGGTTGCTGGCCTAGATCTCATGGCATTGTTTCTGACTATGTAAATGAAATTTTTATACAAGCAAATAATGAATACAGACCAGAGAATAAGGCACATCCTGTGGCAATTTCACACAGGCAATTTTTCTTGCTAAAATCCATGAGGGGATCAGCAGTTGTGATTATTCACACACGTCCTTAATGGCGGTCCACATATCACTGATACAGGTTAACAGGCACCTAATAACCAGAGCTGACCGAGTTTGGTGGGTGCCTTGAATCACCTCTCTTTTTGTTTGTGTTTCCGTTCCCTCTCCTCCTTTCTGTTTGACTACAGAGGCACTCCTAAGGAGGAGAAAGAAAACCTTCATTTGAAACCGCAGGAAACCAAAGGCTGGGTGTAACCAGCTTCAAATCCAGACAAGCTTCAGCGTATAACTTCATGTGCTACTGTTTTCATCGTTTAGCATATCACATGGATGGGTGGCACTGTAAAATGCACAGAGTATCACTGTCAGAGGTATGGTAATATGTGTACACACATGTACACCTATCAGCGTACGCTTACTTTACACTGCAGCCGGTTCAGCTGTGGTACCAGCAGCAGTCCAGCTGTGGTGAAGAAAACTCAGCCTGAATGTTTCCTCAGCTCCCCAGATGGGCTTTACCGCCTGTGCCAAGACACAGTTTGTCACAGCTCAAATGGCACTTGAGCTGCCTGGTTTAAAGAGTTTATCCACATTATGGGTAGGGCTTTGAGCAACCTAGTAGAAGGTGTCCTTGCTCATGGCAGGGGGGTTGGAACTGGATGGCCTTTAAGATCCCTTCCCATCCAAACCACTCTATGATTCTCAAATCATTTGGCAGTCAGAAAAATTATTAAACTCCTCCCCAAAGCTAAAAATTCAGCTTTTTCCAACTATTTGAATAAGATTTTGTGAGTGTGTTAACACATTCATAACTTCAAGAGATCAAACCCTCAGCATTAAGTGTCACGAATGTTATATCCAAGCTCCATGTGTGATCATGATACTCACACAGCAGCTGTTACTAAAGAGTTAGCAATCCATTATGTCTCATCCCATAAACAGATTGCTGACAAATCTTCCTGATGGTCTTTTAAAAGTAAAAACGATCAAATATAAGAAAAAGTATTTTGAATGCCTCTAGAAAATTATCTTGGTAAAACACTGAGAAACACAAATTCCACTGATGTGAGATTTTACTCTTTGCAGGTGCTTTCACTGCCTGTGCAGGTCCAGACCTAAACTTGGGGATACGATGGGGATATGGTGTAAGAGGACATGGGTGGAGGTGAAGAGGTGGGGATGGATGCACTTTGCAAGTCACCAAGCTCACTGCCTCTGAGAAAGTGGAAAACCTTTTCTGACAAAGAGGTTTCCATGGGGTTTGAAGGCAAGGTGCAGCTCTGCTGGCCAGCCATGTGTTAAGGGACCTCTGGTAGGAGAATATCTCCTGCTGTGATCCCACCTAATCTTGGGAAGCAATGCAAGCCAGCTGTGGTGATGCCTCTGCAAGGTGCCTTGCCAGCCAATGCTCCCTTTCCAACACTGTACCCCATATCTGAGATTAGGGAGGACCGATGTCGATGTGAGCCCCCACATGTCACAAGCTGCCAGTTGCTCAGAAGCCCCTGCTCTGAATGGTGGTTAAAAATACAGCCCCATCTTCCATGTAATGCCTAATCTTGATTAAAACGCTTCCAGGGCTGGGCAGCCTGGGCTGCATCCTTTGGTCAATGCTGTCAGTGGCTCTTGCATTCCCTAATCCCTGTTAATATCACTGCTTGTCAAAGCAGATTTGTGCCTTTCCTGGAAGACGGCTGCCTCTTTAGTACCAACTGGGGGAGAAAGAGATGCCTTATCAGCCGGTGCCGGGAACAGCGAGTGGCAGACAAGAAAGGCATCCTGTTTTCTGGGGAGAAGGCGCGGGAGGTGGGCGAGCGTCTGGCTCCTACTATTAACTCTGGCTGTAAGCACGGCTCCTGCCCTGTCAGGATGAGACATAATCCTCTATTCTAACCACGCACAACCCATGAACCTCTCGTGGCAGTGTTTGTGGCAGAGGCACGAGCTTTTGTATCCTGGCCAAACTGGAGGACAGATTATGCTCTGTTGACCTATATTCCCCTAAGTCATTTTCAGTTAGTGCAGTAGTTACCCCTTCTGTTTGCACTGTTAAATTTCTCCCTGCCACAATGCTGAGCTGAGACTGAAGTGTCCATGCTATCTAGGGGAATTTTGCTGGCTCCTCTGAGGAGACAGGGAAACACCTCCCTAAAACAAGCCCCACGTATTCTCATATGCACTTGGAATGCCTGTCCAATTTCTACAGGGAAGCATGAGACCTGCTCTGGGTGATGGAGGGAAGAATCTGGTCCCCAGCCTTGCTGTCTTTTGGTTGATTCCCTGGGGGCAGGAAACCAAAGCCAGCCCCTGGGGGGGTTCACCTGGGGCCATCTGACCAGATGGCACAGACAGCTCTCTGTGACCTGCCAGGACTGCAGAAATTCAAGCTGGCTTCTGGCCGAAGAAGGGAAGGACTGGCAGAGGCAGTAGGAGGAAGACCTTCAAAGGAGAACAAGGGACGGTGTTGTGACTGGGGACTGCAGCTTCTGTGAAAGGTTGGCCACCCTTCCCCACCCCTCAGCAGCTGGGAGAAGAGAGGGAGACGTGATGTTTTGGAAAGGAATAGAGAACGTGCCTTCCTTCATGAGCAAGTTGGGAAAGGAGAAGGTGCCTTCATGGGGCAGGAATGAGGACTCACCCTGGCCTCCACTAGCCACATGCCAAGTGATTTGGGATTACTGAGCCCCAGCTCAGTGCAGGGCTTGGGGTGCCTATCATGGCACATCAGGTGAGCCACAGCAGTGCTGATCCTCTGTTTGAAACAGCCCCAGAGGTCCTGGTGGGCAATATGGGTGGCAATGCTGCATTAGGCAGAAGGCCACCAGCAGGTTGAGGGAGGTGATGTTCCCCTTCTCAGCACTGGTGAGGCACATCTGGAGTGCTGGGTCCAGTGTTAGCCTGCCCAGTGCAGGACAGACATGGACATACTGGAGTGAGTCCAGCAAAGGGCCATGAAGATGACAGGGGACTGAAGCATCTTTGGTATGAGGAGAGGCTGTGACTGTTCCTGGGAGGTTCAGTGTGGTCTTATATAAATACCTGATGGTATTGATATGCAAACTTTCTCTCCTGCCAGTCTGGCTTTCCTGTGATTTGTAATGCCCTTGCATCTGATGGTTGGGTTTTTTTTTCTGTCTTCTTTTTTTTTTGGGTGGTTTTACATTATTTATTTTTTTCACATTTATCATACAATTGCAGATGCAAAACACTCATGTATGGGCCTGTCATCATGGAGTGAAGGTGCACAAAGTCCCAGGCTTCCTCTCCTAACTCCCGTTACTGTTTTATTCCTCTTCTGATGTGAAACACAGGAAGCTGATGTCAGTTATTCCTTCAGCAAGTAGGGACGTTGTATTTTTAAGTAAGAGAAATATATTGAGGCTAGTACCCATTGCTAATATCAGGGAATTGATCTATAGTACCAATTTATGCTCATCTTTAAAACAGTCCCATACAACGGCACAGCTATTATTCTAGCAAAGCTTTCCACATTATCTTCTTACTATGGGCTTATAAACTTCCTTGACGCATGAAAGCACCTCTCTGTCTAGTCCTTGTCATTACGTTAAGATGAAACAGTTCTTAAAACTATCTTCTGCTGTGAAATTCTTCTGGGTATAAAAATCAAAAAGTTGTTTTGATTGTAGTTGAATAAATGCAATTGAAAACACAAACTATTTCTTACCTGTGTTTTCTTCATCCTTTCTTTTCCTGCTTTTGTTGAAGGCTTAAAGGAATAAGTTCCCTCAAAGGTTCCCTCAAAACCCTGTTCCCAGGGTTCTATTTTCTCCTTTTCCCATATTTTCCTTCGATTTTGAAAATGTTGGAGAGAAATTTTCCTCTATCTCCTCCTTAAGCATTAGTCCTTTCTCCTTTTTGTGTGGAAGTTACTTAGATAACCTGGGGAAGAAGCAAACTTTAGTTTTGAAAGAAGAATTTGAGAAGAAAATTTGAAGTTTTGATTACATGAAATTAAAATCTATTTTTAGTTAAAAATTTCTCAGTTACTCAAAATTAAAGCTTTTCCAATAAACATTTGGTAAACACCTCATTTTGTGGACAGGGACAACTTTCAACTGAATGTCTTTGACAGTTCTAATTATATTTATTCTCTTTCTTCCTTTCTGGTAAATCAGTATTGTCAGTCAGATGTAGTTATAAATGTTTCTGTCTTTTTCCTTCTCACCAGAATCAGTACACTCCTGCAGGAAATTAAGAGAACCTCTGTTCATGAAATAACAACATTTTGATTCATCCATATGAAAATAACAAATGCATTTTGATCCATTTACTGTGAGGATGGTGAGGCACTGGCACAGGCTGCCCAGAGAAGTGGTAAATGCTCCATCCCTGGCAGTGTTGAAGGCCAGGTTGGACAGAGCCTCGGGTGACGTGGCCTAGGATGAGGCACCCCTGCCCATAGTAGTGGGGTTAGAACTAAATGATCTTAAGGTCCTTTCCAACCCAAACCATTCTATGAGTCTATGATTCTATGTACAGCTTCACTATTAGAGGATTGGTGCACAAGGCAGATCAGGGCTAAAGAAGATGCTGAGTTTCAGGAAGTCTGGGAGTAAAGCTAATCCATCTGCAAAGATCCCAGGTCAAGGCACCATTTCCAGGGCTGAGGCTGAGGCCTGGAGGCAACAGGGGACTGACTTTGGGTGAAGCAATCCCTTACCTGAGCCCTGCTGCAGGGAGGGGCAGAAGACACCATGACCAGCAGTGGTGATGCAGTGTTGGCTGGCTCGGAGAGTCATGTCTCACCTGCCAGGGGTGGCTTAGAGCTCCCTCCCTTCTGCCCCCAAATCTTATCCACTTTCCTACAGCCATTAGGGCTTCTTTTTTCAGATCTCCCTCCCTGCCTACCTCCTTCTCCTACCTGAAACTATGTCCTTTACACAGCATGGCTCGCAGCTCTCTTATCTACATACCTGCATACTTCCCAGGATTCCATGTGCTGTAGAAATGTCAAGAGCAAATCATGCCCTGTGACTTCTCATCCTTTGCAGCATCACCTCTGCGTTCAAACTCCAGCTGGCTCACTTGTCCCTAGCTCAGTCTGAAGAAGCAGGTTAGGCATGGCTTGTGCAGAATTTTACCCCTGGGAGGAGTTTATGGCACTGAGAACTGCCTATGGAGCTAGCACAAGGACCTCTACATGACAGCTGCCACTTCAGCTAGACTATGGCTGTAATTTGCCTGTCTACTCTCTGCAAGACCTGCAAAGAGCCAACCTGACCAGGACCACTGGAGCAAGAAAACAGGGTTTGATGACAATTCATGCAGTCTACCCATTGGATTTAACTATTAACCTCCCCTGAACAAAGCACTGGGAGATCCAGACCTTCACCCAAACAGTCGCATGTCCATGTCCAAGGATCCTCAGATCTGTGCCAACACCAGCACCTTGCATGGGATGAACATGTTTTGCTGATGAGTCAGAGCAAAGATAAGCAGCTGGATCCCTGCCAGGATGATGGTTCACGCACTTGCTTGATAAGGTACCATTTGCTGGTCCTGGATACCTTTCCTGGAAAGTGATGATTAACTGCTGGGTGAAGGACATGTTGTCTTGACTTCTCCCATTCTATTTTCCTTTTAAGCAGAAAACCGTGTAGAGGCTGATGTCAGCCCTGCTGTAATGGTACTGTGAATCTGGGTGGGTGTTCCTGGCTTTGCTGCTGTCTCACAGGTGCATAGTGTTATCTGTCACGGAGCCAGGCTGGACCATGGTGGAGCTCATGGACAGCACTGAGGCAAGCAAAACTTTCTCAGGCCTTAGTCACCATGCCATGAGCATGGCACATCACTTCTGGGCCCTCATCCATGCCACACAACTGGAGGATGTGGGCTGCTCATTTCTAAAGCACTTTGGTTCCAGGTACTGGTATTTGCACAAGAGAAATGCAGTTCGGAGAGGCCTTTCCTTAAGACTGGCATCCTGAACAGAACATAGGCGTAAGACCAGGCTTGCTCGCAGAGACCAAGGGGCCATTCACACGCATTTGGATGTCTACATTTGTCTGAGCTTCTGTTGCGGCTAATGAGCACCTGGGGCTTCGTCCAGCTGCACAAATATCATACCATCCACGATGGTCCTGAGTTTTTGAAGTGGCTGGTGATATGACCAGATCCAAGGGGCACCTGTGCCTGTGGCTGAATGAAGCCCTGGTCAATTCTGGTGGACCTTTGCCAGGGTCATTGTAAGGGGGTGTCTGTCTCTGCATGCTCTGCTTTCCCAGGTTTGGGAAATGGGAGACACATCTACCACATAACTTTGGGATCCAGGCTCTTTGACACAGACACTCATTCCTCACCACTCTGCCCTGTCACCCAAAGGCACCCTGAACCCTGTGCAGGTGTGTCTGTGGCTGTGGGTGCAGCACTCATTAGCTCCAGCAGACATTACTCACTCGGGCACGGCACCAGCA